CTCTGATTTTTATTATTATTGAGTTTGAATTTGGTTTGTTCTTGTTTTTTAGTTGTTTGAATTGTATTCATTAAGTAATAAATATTTGTGCTCGTTCTGATTTTTTTAATATAGGCAATTAAAACTACAAATTTCTCTCATACTGCTTTCAGTTTGTCCCAGAGTTTTTATTGTGTTACATTTTCATTTTCACTTTGTTCAGGATTTTTTTTTATTTTTGAATTTTTTTCTTTGACCCATTCACCATTCAGTAATAAGATGTTCAATCCATGAGAATTTGTGTTTTTTCTAGAGATTTGTTTGCTATTAAAGTTTTACAGCCTTATGGTCACTTGAGATACTCAAGAGTTATTTAAATCTTTCTGAATTTGTAGATTTGTTTTGTCCAGGGTGGGGTCTATTTTAGTGAAGCTTCAATGTTATGTTTTGGTGTTTGGGTGGAATATCCTGTTGATACCTAAGTGCATCTGATGTATGATGTCATTTAATTCTAGTGTTTTTCTGCTTTTTTGTGGAAGGGATCAGATGACCTGTGTATTGGAGAAAGTATGGTACTGAAATCACCTACCAGTATTGGGTTGGTGTTAATCTGTCTTTAATTCCATTAGTACATTTTTTATGAAATTTGACACAGGTGAGTTTGGTGAATATATATTTAGGATAATGTCTTCTTGGTCTGCTGGTTAGCTTGAAGTGTACCCCTTTTCTCTTCTGTTTAGTTTTAATTTAAGTCTGTTTTGTCAGACATTAAAATAGTGACACCTGCTTGTTTCTTGATCTCATTTGAAGTACTCTTGTCCATCTCTAAGGCAGTGCCTATCTTTAAAGCAAAATGAGTTTCTTGCAGACAACAGCTAGCCTGTTTCTTTTGATTGAAAAGTTGAATCTGCTAATAATTAAAGTTATTATTGAAATGTGTACTGATTGCAGTCATTATGTTGTTGCGTTTTGGTGTTCTTTGTGTTTAGTAATTACGGCTTCATATTTCTTTCTACAGTCTCTTGGCTGTGCTCTTTCCTCTCTTCAGCCTGAAATGTTGCTTCCTGTAATTTTCTTTAGGTTTGGTTTGTTGAATATAAATTTTTGGGCTGTTTATATTATGGAAAGTTTTTTCTTTCTCCTTCAGCTAAAGCATATAATTTTTGCTGGGTATATTATTTTAGTTGGCTCCCATAGTCTTTTCAGACTTGGAATGCATTGCTCTAGCATCTTCTGACTTTCAAAGTTTCCATTGAGAAATCGTTGGTTATTCTAATGGGTTTCCTTTGTATGTGACTTGTGTTTTTCTGTTGAAGCTCTAAATATACTTTCTTTCTTATGTATGATTACTGTTTTAACTATGACATACCGCGGGGATTTTCTTCTATGTTCTTGTCTATTTGGTGTTCTGTGTGCTTCTTGTATGCTTGTTTCTTTCCTAAATTTGAGGAAATTCTCTTCTATGACCTTGTTGAAGATCTGTATAGCAGCTCTGCCTGTCCTAGAACTCACTCTGTAAACCAGGCTGGCCTTGAACTCACAGAGATCTGCCTTTCAGGATTAAAGGCATGTGTCGCCACCACCCAACACCTGCTGGGTTTTTTGATCATGGACATTTTATCATGATTTTTATTTTTTTAACCTATTTTTATATTTTATATAAACTACTTTGTATTTCTTATAAACAAACTATTTTAGTCTTAGTTTTTTTCTAACCAGTCTATCTCTAGGTTTAAACTTTTTATATTTCATACCAATGTTGAGTTGGTTAAAGTCCACCATCTTACCTTCTTATTTTCCTTTTTCTCTTATGATTTTAAGTAGTTTTATGATTTAATTTTGTCCTTTTTGTTATAAATATTACTTTATATTACTATAAATATTACTTTAGTGAATGTCTTAGATTTTTTTAGGCCACCTTTAAATTTTGTTTTCAATAATACTACATATCACTGATAGTTCTAGAACTTTTCAGCAATGTGTGCCTGGCCTCTTCCAGCTTTGTACTGTTTCCTCTGCTGACGTTATTAGTGCTGTCCTTTAAAGAGATGCAGTTTGCTTAGGCATTTCATATCTGCCTTCACACTTGACCTTGTGTGCACTCATTGCTCTTCATTGCATTATATAGATCTGGGTTGTTACCTGGTATTGTCTTTTCTCGGCCTGATAGACACCCTGTAATATTAATTAAGATGCCATAAAAATATTGACAAATGATTATATAAATATGTATAAAACTCTTGATGAAAAACACTGGACACAAAATTTTTTAAAGAATGGGAAGAAGTGCTAACAAAATATCAAAGCCACAACAATAAATATTCTGAGAAAACTCCAGTAGCACATTAAATAATCCCAAGATTTCAGAAATGGAATTATGTCAGTTACAAAGCTGCTTTGCAACAAAGGAAATATTTGCCAGTGAAAAGACAGCTTGTAGTATGCAAATAAGTCTTTGCCAACTACACATCAGATGGGGGATTATTCTCTAGAAAAGAACAACAGAAACTAAACCTTCAAATTCCTAGTCATCCAGTCAATAAATGGCTGGTGAAATGGATAGTTGGTTCTCAAAAGCAGGCATACAGGAGCTGGAGAGATTGCTCAGGGGTCACAAATGCTTGCTACTCTCCCACAGGCCCAACCTGGTTCCCAGCCCCCACCTCAGGGGCTTATAACTGCCTCCACCTCCATTCCATGTACACAAGCACATGTGTGCACATGCATGTGAGAGCACACACAAACACACACACAGAGAGGAAAGTAAATCGTTTTCTACATTTTTAAATTTTTAATTAAAATCTAATTACATCACTTCCTTCTTCCCTTTCCTCCCTCCAGCCCCTTCCATGATCCCATCAAATTGATGGCCTCTTCTTTTTTTTTTTTTTTTTTTGTCATTATCATTACACACACACAGAGAGAGAGAGAGAGAGAGAGAGAGAGGAAGGAGATGATGAAGTGTGATAAATTATATTACAACCTGCTAAGTCCATTTGGTGTTGCTCGTATGTTTCAGGACTGACCATTTTTTATTGAAAAACCAGTTAGGTAGGTGGCCTCATCCCTGGGAGAGATTTAATTTTTCCTCTCTTGGAAGTCATTAATTGCTTATTGGTCTTTATCTATGGGTGAGGCCCCTGTGTGAGGGCCTCAGTGAGATTTCTCCCACATCAGTCTGTCTGTTTATGTTGTCGTTGTTCATATTTTCTTTAGACAGTCATTTTGTTGAAATATTGTGGGTGTAGCTTCCTTATCATTTCTTTTTTTTTTTTTTCTTTTTGTTTTGTTTTTCAGGACAGGGTTTCTCTGTGTAGCATTGGTGCCTGCTCTGGAACTAGCTCTTAGACCAGGGTTGTCTCGAACTCTGCCTGCTTCTGCCTTCCACCACCACCCTGCCCTTCCTTGTCATTTCTAAAAGACAGTCTCACAACAGACTTCCTGGTTCTCTGGATCTTGCAGTCTTTTCACCCCCTCCTCAATGTTCCCTGAGCCTTAGGTGTACAATTTGTGTTGTAGATCTATCTGCTAGGGTTGGGCTTCCCGGATCAGTTGACTTAACCCTTGGGGTTGTATCTAATGGGCTCTGTGAAAGCTGTTCTTATCAAGGATAAGCTTTAGAACGCAATTGGGGATAATCTGATCTAGTTGTCCTCTAAGGTGCAAGACTTCATATTTCTGGGTAGTTAGATGTTAAAATCAATGACAGATTACTGGTATAGTGGAGTTGCTATTAAAAGTGGCCAGCCAGGAGGTTGAGAGGTAAACATGATACAATGTGTATGGAGGGAGTTTTCAGTGCATATCAAAACTGTGTCTTCCCTCAGATTATATACATTTTCTCTATGAGTGTGCAATAGTGTAAAGGAAGAATGTTTTAGAATATATGTAGCAAAACCTAACTAGGTTTGGTGTTTTTGTTTTGAAGGAGATAGAGTTACTTGCACATCCACAATTATTGCTGTATTATTCTCAATGTATTTTCATGTACTTGCATGTGCCTAGCAGTCTTAGAAATATACACACCAATGTGTTTATAGTGGTTATCTGTGAAAATAAATTATTTTTTACTTTTTAAATGTTTCTGTTATCTGAATTTTATAATAGTTCCTATAGTCATTTTGGAAATAAAACGAATTTTTAAATGGTGTACTATGTATATAATTGCCAAAAATACAAACAAACTAAATCAAGACCATTCCCCCCAAGATTTCAGAAACAAATGGATCAAAGTTTTTCTCTGTGAGGTTTAAATGAAATGTTACTTTTTTAAAAAGTCAGGCATTGACTTTCCCTATATGAAACACATATTAACAGTAAGGGGCATTTTAAGTTGTATGACTTCACTAAAAGTTTCTATAGATTATTTATGTAGACCATTGCTTTACACTGTGATTTACAAGACTTTGGGAATTCAAGAGTCTCCGATTCAAATTCAAATCATTGATCATTAATACACATCTGTGTGGGACTTGAGATGAGAGCAGAGATCTGCACTTTAGAAAGAGCACTGATGAGGCCAAAGAAGCACATGTCAGTTTTGGTGAAACAGTGAGTTTATTGAGGATACTTAGAGGATCATAGTGAATGGGAGTGACTAACCAGAGCACGGGTGGCTCAAATACAGCTCCAGACCAAATAGCCCGCCCACTACACGTAGTGACTCACATAAGCCGTATCACTGGAGCCCTCCTGACAGCTCTCCTCTCCCTAGCAATTCCTGACCTTTGTAAATTTCATTTTATTATTGAGTCTTATGAGCCTCCTCCAGGAGAGAATATTTCAATTTGAGAGGATACCTGCACATCTAAAATGTTACCCCAGTAACTTAAAATGCAAGGCAGAGAGGATAACAGTAGAAACAGGAAGGAGGGATGGATGTAGACACTCTACACTAAAGGGGACAGAGCATTTCTCATCGCAATGCAGTAATCCCAGAATTCTACACAGTGTCTGGATGACAGGCACAGCTGCTGCTGCCCAGCGCCGATTTTAACTGAATCCTCTTGTCTGTCACACAGCAATCAGCAAGCCTTTTTACTGGAGAATGTCCCGTGCAATAATGCGAGCTGTGAGGAAGTGCACCGGATGTTTAAAGTCTACTGGGACCTATCAGGCCTAAATCTTATCAAAGATGCCATGGTTGCCACCTTTTTTGATATCTATGAAGACGTGAGTTCAGAACTGTCCTATGTGTTTAAGAGTTTAATTGCTATCTATATATCTCATTGTAGCTTCATAGTTTTTACCAGAAAATGGAATGAGAATGGTTCATTAAAGAAAACCTCTTTTAATGTTCAATGGGTGGGGGGGGGGGGGGCTGACTGCTGGTAGTGATAGTTAGCTCTGTAGTTGAGACTATGGAAGTGTTATCTCTTCTTGTGCTCATTTGGAATAAACTGCTGCAGAATTGTGCTTTAAGACTAGCAGATCTACATGTTCATCCGCTGACCCAAGCAGAACCAACAGGTACTCACACACACAGCAAGGGAGTATATTCACTACATTTGTCAACTAGAACATGGCATCTGCTGACACTTTACTGGCTCTGTCACTAGTTGCCAAGTGAGCTGGCTCTGTAGGTGCCTGGCATCCACCTTTCTAAAAAGAAAGCTAGTTTTCTACTTAGAAGAAGAAAAGAGAGAGGGCTGAAGGCTGGAGAGATGGCTCAGAGATTAAGAGCACTGACTGCTCTTCCAAAGGTCCTGAGTTCAGTTCCCAGCAACCACATGGTAGATCACAACCATCTGTATTGAGATGCAGTGCCCTCTTCTGGCCTGCAGGCATACACGTGGACAGAACACTGTAAACGTAATAAATAAATCTTTAAAAGAGAAGAAGAAAAGCTTTTGAAGAATATAAAGTTAATTTATCCACGTACATCCTTACAGATTGTTTACTGTAGAAAGTAAAAGCCCATCAGAACATTTATATCTTCATTAACCTTTTATTTTCTTGTTCTGTTTTGCTCTGGGTTTAAGAGGCTTGTATTCAGTGGTGAGTTATAGATACCCACATTTCCTTGCTTTTTCTGCTGCCAAATCGCATTTCATTTTATTTTTCATTAGCAGTTTCCAAGCATAAAAGTAATTGGTAGAAATATTACAAGGAAAAAAATCAACAAAATTGCTTACAAATCAATTTTTAAGTTCTGTAAATCAAAAAAAATAATAAATGAAATTTCAAATTATTTTTAAGTATGGAAAATAGAAATGCTACAAATGAATGAAGTAATTAATATTCTTAATATAAAAGTAAGTATTCAGGCCAGCCTGGTCAACAAGAGCTAGTTCCAGGACAGGCTCTAAAACTACAGCAAAACCCTGTCTTGAAAAACCAAAAAAAAAAAAAAAAAAAAAAAAAAGTAAGAATTCATAGACACAAGTGTGTCACCAAAAACACTCCAGAAAAGAAAAGTCAATTTAAAGAAAAAAAAAAAGGGAGGGAGAGAGGAGTGGGGGGAGGGGGAAAGGAGTAGGGGGAGGGAAATGGGAGGCTGGGAGGAGGCGGAAACTTTTTTTCTTTTCCTTTTCTCAATAAAAAAAAATTTAAAAAAAAGAACTTTGTAGAAGGATTCCATTAAAAAATATATTGCTAACATTTGTAAAATGAAAAATGAGTAGCTTCAGGAGATGCAGAAGAGTATCCACTTTAAATGGATGTGTGGTTTGTCTTCAGTAAAACGGGCTGAATGTGTACTTGTTAGGGAGCGAAAATGTGGTGCCATTGCCACATGCAGCACAGCAGGTAACTGGACCATGTTTGCGGAAGGTCTGACAATTCTGCACAAAATAGTGAGCTGTGTCTACATTTCAAAAGTATGTGCTGCAAATGTCTGGAAGCCTGACGTAGATCCCCAAACCTACTGTGAGAAAAGAGACTCAGTTCCTGAAAGCTGTCCTGGACATCCACATTACACTTCCCATCCCCCACTTCCCCACACATGTACACACACACAGTAATGATTCCAAAAATGAAATTGTAGGGCTGAATGTGGTGACGTGCACCTTTAATTCCAGTACTCTTGAAGCAGAGTCTAAGGCCAACCTGATCTACAAACTTGGTTAGCCAGGTTCAAGCCAGCCAAGGCTACACAGTGAATACTATCTTTAAAAAAATAAAATCACAGTGTATATACATACAATCAAAAGGAAATATACCAAAATGCTAACAGTTACTTCCTAGGACTGTTTTCTTTTTATTTCCTATTTAAATTGTGTACATACATTTTTAGTAAACTTATTTTAGACATCAACCTACTAAGGTTGTACAAATAACAAACTACCCGAGAAAATTAACTTAAAAGGACAAAGGATTTCAGTCCACAGTCACTACATCCTGTCTCTTGACTGGTGCGGCACAGTACATCATGACAGGACCACATGGTAGAACAGGCCAGCTCACCTGTGGTGGCCTAGCAGCAGAGAGACGGCAAAAACTGAAGTCACAATACCCTTCAACAGGCTGCCAAGCAAATCTTTAATACGTGAGCCTTTGGAGTAAGAATTACTCAAACTATAGCACAAGTCACACAGTGGTCTTTTTCTTTCACCTAGTAGTTTTTCTTACAATTTTTGTTTTTTTCAGGGCATCTTGGACATTATAGTACTCAGTAAAGGGTACACCAAGAATGATGCTGCCATTCATACACTTAAAAATAACTTTGAAGCAGATGCTTATTTTGTAAAAGTCATTGGTGAGTATTTTAGATGTTACCAATCATCTTGTTTTCCTCTCCCCTTCCCTTTTCTCTCCCTTCCCTTCTCCTCATTTCCTGGTACAAGTGCACACTCCTGTGTGGTGCATGTACAACCCTCCAGATGAGGAAGTGAGCTGCAGCAGAACCTCGTGCTAGCTATACATAGGCCCCATTCACATATACCAGCTGTCCCAACAATGACTCTCTTCCCCTTCTGGTTTAGTATTCTGCCCAGGATATGTTGAATTTTCCACATCTTTCCAGACTTCCTCAATCTAGGACACTTTTTCAGTCATTTTCTATTTTTATCTTCATTGGTTTTAAAGAATTCAAATTTTATATTGTTAGATAATCCTCGCTATCTAACTCAAGTTACCTGTTTTTAGCAAGACTCTACAGCAGGGAATTGCAGAGCAGACGTGCTACACTTCCAGGTCATTGGACCAGGGGGACACAGTGCACACTGCTCACAGAGAAGAACAAGGAGGACACAGTGCACACTGCTCACCTGCTCACAGAGAAGAACAGTTCAAATTTTTTATATGTGTATGAGTGTTAGGAACAGAACCCTTGTCCTCTGTGAGAACAGTGCTCCTAACCACTGAGCTGTCTCTCCAGCCCTGAGATGATCAATTTTGTTTGTTAATTTATTTACTTTAATGTGCGGCGGTGGTTTTGCCTTCATGTATGTCTGTGTGAGGGTGCCATGGCCTCTGGAAGTGGAATTACAGACAGTTGTAAGCGGCCATGTGGGTGCTGGGACTTGAACTCAAGTCACCTGGAAGAGCAGCTAGTACTCGCAACTTCAAAGCCATCTCCAGTCCCATGATGGCCAGTTTTATCTTTCCTATAGCCACTGTTTTTCCCTTCCCTCTTCCTACAGAGTTCTGGTATTGCTTGTCTCCTTTTTATATCAAACTTTTACCTGCTACCATTAGAGTCTATTGATCACTCCTGCCTCAGCTTTTGTCAAATAATGATTCTGCTTTGCATCATTCTTTCTACATTAGCTTTTTTTTTTTTTTGTATTTATTGATTGTATTGTGTATGGCTGCCTGAGTGTGTGTATCTCTACCACATGCATGCAGGAACCCTTGTAGATCAGAAGGAGGGTATCAGAGCCCTTGGAACTGGAGTTACAGTTGTAAGTCACCATAGGGTTCTAGAAACCAAACCTGGATCCTCTGCAAAACCTCTTAACTGCTGAGCTCTCTCCCCATCCCCATCCTTCTACATTCATAGGCTGGCACTCAAAGTTTCATTTTGTACAGCCCTTGACCTGTGCCTTGAATCACACACATTTCTCCATGTATGTAAAACCCAGGCTCTCAGTACTTAGTGTACATGTTAGTGGTTTGTCATTTCTTACAGGTTCCTTTTGGACAGAAATAGGAAAATGGAAGTCAGGCTTCACATACATGTACGTCTGGTCATATGTCTGATTAAGCTATGGATTTCTGCCACTGCTTCCATTTTTAATACAACACAGTCTCTCCATGTGCATCCTCTGTAGCAGGGAAAATTTCCCTCTCATTTCCCTGTGCTATTTCTCCTCTGTAGCCAGTTCCTTGCAGGTACCTGTCTCACTGGGGATGGACTCATAAAGGCCTTGTGTATTTTATTATGTATATTCCTGTATTATCTGGAAAGAGTTTAAATACTGCTGTGTACTTTAATTTGGTTTCCATGTGTTCATTTTTAGTATGTGGAAATAAACATTTCAGTGCAGCTCACTGAACTCACTTATTGATTCTAGGAAGGTATTTTTTTAAAATAGTTTTTTGGGAAAATTTTTCTTTATAGACAGCCATTTGTAAGGAGGAACAATTTTCTTCCCCTCTCCAATCTCTTTACCTTTTGTGTCTTTATTGTGCTAGCGAGAAAGAGTAAGAATGGACAACTTTGCCTTCTTCCCTCAGAAGCACCACATTTCTCCACTGGGCACCTTAGCTGCACAAGGACTTCTCCTTGTGTCATGGTGAAAAGGTTCACTTCCTTCCTCAGTGACTGGGAGTTTTATCAGGAATTAGTGTTGGAAGATAGCTAGTTTTTAATTCTACTAGAGTTAATCTCTGACCTCCATACATATACTGTGCCCCATATATATCTACACCCCCACACATGAACATACACAAAGATGTAAGTTTTTAATTAATTTTTAAAGACACATGTATAAAATGAACAGATTTTAAGTTTTTTAAATTAATTTTGAAAGACATAGGTATAAAGTGAAATTTGATTTGCTCAGAAATTGAAGTGGTTCCTATCTGTGGTCATGAGTCAGCAAATGTATTAATAGACTTTGAGGGGGGAATTAGATCTTATTTTTAATGTAAGCTTATAACATTAGTAATAGGCGGTTCTTTATCTTTCCACAGTTCTTAGTGGTCTATGTTCTAATGACTGTCCTCGAAAGATAACAGTAAGTAAACTTAATTCTTTTTTTAAAAAGAGATCATACAATTTATTCATTAGCTCCAAAGGATAAGAGACACAGGGACCAGACAGAAACCAGATGTGGTAGATATCAATCGGAACATACCAGTGATAAATTTTAGATCTAAAACTGCTAACTATCTTAGTTAAGTCTAAGACTGTTGTCTTTGAAGAAAAATACAGTCCCTGACTATATTCTGTCTTAGGATACACATGTCTTAAATAGAAGAACAGAAAAGTTGAAAACAAAGCCATGCAGAAGGGCGTACCACACAGTCATGAACCAGGATGAGAGGATGGCTCTATTAATATCAGAGCAGACAGTGTGGCAAGCAGCTTAACTGGAAGCAGAGAAGGTGTGCCACTTACTAACTTACTGTCTGCCAGCTCCAAACCCACTGTATTCCGATACTGGAACTGAAATCTGTAGGTTTCAGATCAGCAATCCCAGCTGGCTGAAAATGATCTCTTTTCATACAGAGCGAGATAAACTGTGCAAGGCTGGAAGAGCCTTTTCCTTCTGCTCTGTTCCACTAGCAGTCAGTGCCTCTGCATATCCGGGGCCAGGCAGCATCATCCTCTGTAGGGCCGACTCTCAGAGTGCAATAGAGGATGCATGTCCTCTTTGCAAACTTCACCACAGCCATGCCACTCTTCTGGTTTTGCAGCAAGTAAACACCACATTATAGACAATAATTACCACATCCAGCCTTTACAAGAGTCTGAACTCAGCTCTTAAGCCTTGCAAGGCTTTAACCTGCTGAGCAATTTCCCCAGCCTCAAAAAATACAAACCATCACTTTAATACTCAGAAACACTGAGCCTCAGAGAAGTTAAATTTTCCCAAGTCTTGGAGTTCAGTGAGAAATTTCAACACAATGGTAGATGTTTTGATTATAGTTTCATATCCTTACAATCCATTTAGAGCATTACAATTCCAATACTTTCATGTAGGTATAGTTGAGAAACTTCTATAGTGGAGACATCTTTACTGTACTTGGAAACAAAATAATTCTGAAGTAGTCAGGAAAGCAGGGTTGGCAAGAAGAAAGAGGTTGGTTTGCAATGCCCTAAAGCTAAGGTGATCCTTCAGACAGCCTCAACTGAGGCAGAGGGTGAGGGCATATCAACTCCTACGTTAATCAGACATGTGGCACAGCACGCGTTAGCTGAGAAGAGTTGCCAAGTAGAATCCAGCTGTGAACTAGCAGCAGAATCCAGGAAGTAAATATCTTAGTCCTGACATGCAGAAGTAAATGAAGCAGGAATGCATGATGGTGACCCTAGCAAAGACACCTAGTAATAGGGGATAGAGAGCCTGAACCAGTCTTTTGTAACCAGACTGGTATCTAGCATAATTGTCATCAGAGAAGCTTCACCCAGAGACCGATAGGAGCAGATGCAGACACCCACAACAAATCATTAGGCAGAACTCTGGAAATCCTGGAAAAGAGGGAAAGGAAGGATTGCAGGAGCCAGAAGACACCACAAGAAAACAGTGCACAGAATCAACTGGGATTGATAGAGGCTCACAGAGACTGAAACAGCAATCAGGGAGCCTGCATGGATCTGACCTATGTCCTCTGCATATGTTAGGATTGTGTAGCTTCGGTTCCTGTAGTACTACTACCAGTGGGAGTGGTGGGTGGGGGTTGTCTCTGACTCTTTCCCTGCTTTTGGAACCTTTTCCCTCCTACTGGCCGCCTCATCCAGCCTTGATATGAGAGGATGTGCCTGGTTTTCCTGCAGCTTTATGCCATGTTTGGTTGATGTACATGGGAGGCCTGCCCTTTTCTGCAGAGAAAGGAGGAGGAGTGGATCTGGAGTGGGAGTGGGGGACTGGAAGGAGAGGAGGGAGGGGAAGCTGCAGTTGGGATGTAATATTTGAGAGAAAAATAAAGAACTGGTTTGTTACTGATGGTCAGTTGCCTATGTTCTAGTAGATGCCTATCGCCTGCCCCTCATACAGACACGGCGTAAGAGGCAGCACTAAAGTCAGACTCATTGGACTACTTAAGAAGAAAACACGAAAGCGGGGTGGGGTATTGGGGACTTTGGAGCTAGTAAGGGAAAGACAGGTTAGGTATGAAGATACAGTATATAAATGTATGCAAATTTCTAGGAATTAATAAATATTCTTCTCTTTTGGCTTTGGTTTTTGGTTTTTTACCTATATAATAAATTTTCCTGACATTGAAATCATTTACTTACTTTCCAAGACTAACTATTTCCTTTCTCACTGCAGCCCTTTGGAGTGAATCAGCCTGGACCTTATATCATGTACACAACAGTTGATGCGAATGGATATCTGAAAAACGGCTCAGGTAAGAGCACGGAGGGCGTGCATGTGCGGCCTCTTCTCCTGGTGGGGAGGCAGCTGCTGTCACACTCCTGTCACAGCCCTTTTCTGTGACACACATAAACAGATTTCAGGAGCTAGTCAGGACAAAATATCAGCATTTATTTCTTCAGTTTTTATTACTGTGATGAACCAAACCTATTATCCTTATTTTTCAGCTGAATGACAGAAAATGAGAGGTAACTTGAGTTATCTTAAATAACTAAAATAAAATATCTAAAATAAAAGATTGAATTGGTAAATCATATAAATTAGCTCATTTTAAGAGAAATGAGAGCTAGAAATCCGATTAATACTACAATCTAAACTAATCCTGTATTTTCAAATATGGAATAAGAGGTCTAAAAATTTAGAGAGATGTTTTTGATATAGTTTTACAAAAGCACAATTTACTTGTAGATTGCAACAAATATTATGGAGAAATTCAGTCAAAAAGGAAACAGACTGAAAGATGTCTGCATGTGACATACCTGAGATTCCTTCCAAATTACAGTCAATCCAGCTACCTGCAGAAAAATGACAGCCCAGCTAGGTGGTGGTTGTGCACGCCTTTAATCCCAGCACTTGGGAGGCAGAGGCAGGCGGATCTCTGTGAGTTTGAGGTCAGCTTGGTCTACAAGAGCTAGTTCCAGGACAGGCTCCAAAGCTACACAGAGAAACCTCTTGCAAAAAGAAAGAAAGGAAGGAAGGAAGGAAGGAAGGAAGGAAGGAAGGAAGGAAGGAAGGAAGGAAGGAAGGAAGAGAATAAAGTCCCAACAGTATATGATTTCTTGAGAATTGTAGAATCTTGTCCTTGAAGAATAAACAGGCATGCTATAATAACCAGAAAGAATGTGTTAGTGGCCAATTTTGTATTTTATAATGGCCTTATGTAAATTAAGTATTTGTACTACAATGAGTTTATTTTGTAACTAATTATAAACATCTAAGAATTCATTGTGAGGGGTGTGGTAGCACATGCCTCTAATCTCAGTATTCAGGAGTAGAGGCAGGCAGGGAGAATCTCTGTGAGTTCCAGGCTGGGTTGATCTACATAGTGAGTTCTAAGACAGCCAGGGCCCTGTAGAGAAACCCTGTCACCAAAAAAAGAATTCATTGTATTGCTGCTTAAGCATATAAGCATTCTGTAAACAAAAATATCCTAAAAACAATTAATGAAAATTCTGATAAGATTATCATAAGTCAAATAATCTGATGTATCACTATAAGAAAGAAGTCATTTAAGTTTTAATTCCTGTATATTATATTTTTATTGTCCATTCTTTCTTAATATGCAAATAACTTTACTGCTAAGTGAAATGTTCTGAGACTCATTTATTTCATAATGCTGGTAAACTCAGGCAAATTAGCACACTCCAAGTACAAAACTTACCTCCACTGATGAATTATTAGGGAAACTCATATCTACACATTAGCAACTTAAGTTCACTTACACTTCAAAACCTACTTAATTCACACCAACAGGACTGTGTTGTTAATTTAAAAATGAAGAGAAAATCTCTTATCACAGCTATACACCAATATCTTATCCCACTGTATTATCCCACTTTTTTCTTAAAAGTATATGCCACTTAATTTTAATACACACACCTATTCACAAGCAGTTCTGGTTTCTTCTGCACTTTGTTATGGAGGTACAGCAGCTATGCTGGTCAGCTGTCTGCTGTGTCTGCTGCTTCACACACTAAAGCAATGCAACAGCAAACATCTGTTGGGAGCACGGCAAAAGCACTGAAACAATGGACTAGACATAGAAGAGAAACTAAGGACATATAAATGTAGTGTCCAGTCAGTAGAGGGTACTAGCAGGTTTGTACTCTTACATGAGTACAATTTGAGGCTGCTACCCAACTTTCAAAATGAAAGATAAATACTAACAGCTAGGAACACTGCCATAATGAGAGAATTCTTGGTGGTGCTGCCCAGAAGGTCGGTATAACTCAAATCAGGACTTTCTTCTTTGTATATTTTCATTGTGCATAATACTGTGTTACAGTAAAGATATTCTCATATAAGCACGAATGTACATTGAGTAGACCCCTATTGTACTCCCCACCTCTCTCACCATATAGTGATTCCTCTAGACAAGATTGTTTCCGCTTTCATGATCTATATACATACAACAGTATATAAAATCAAAGCACAAAACAAGAGAAAATATGAGATATTTGTCTTTCTCAGATAGGCTTCATCATGTAATATGATATCTCTCCTTGTTTCCACTTCACTATAAACAACTCCATGGCTGGAAGAAAATCCATTGTGTATAAAAACATATTTTATTTATCCATTACCTCTGTCATTGGGCATTTGGGTTGGTTCCATAGTTTTAACTCTTGTGAACAGATCTGTAATAAACATATGCAGAAAAGATCTCTCTGTATTGAATTCTTTGGATAAACAAACACACAGGAGTGCTAGACCTGGGCAGTATGGCAGTTCTAGTTTTAGTGTTTTGAGGACCCTCATGCTGGTTTCCATCGTGGCTGGACTAGCTACATCCACTAGCAGACTAAGTGTTCTCTTGTCCACATCCTCACCAGAGCATCTCTTATCTTCTCTTCAGTTAAAGTTTCTTCTGTGAAGTTAGCTGTTGTTCCAGTGAGAGTGCCTTTATATGTTACTTGTTTCTCTTGCAGCTTTCAGTCAGAACACATCCTTTGTTTTGTATGTTTAGTGTTTTGGCTGTGATGAGGCGAGGTTTTTCTCTGGTGATATTTGTTTGGTATTCTAAATTCTTCCTGTACCTGGATGGATACCTCTTTCCCTACGTGTTGGAAATCTGCTATTATTTTATTGAAAAAAATGGTTTTTCCCATCAAATTATAACAAGGCCTAGAGGGTAGAATGACCATAACTTGAAAGTGTTTTCCATGCCATTAGCATGAAATTCTTTCTATACCTGAGTCATATAGATTTGATCTTTTGTAGTTTCCCATAGATCTTGAATGTTCTAGTCATAGTTTATCTTTGCCATTGTATAAATGTTCAACCCTTCTACCTTGAGATTCTTGCCTGATTTGTGGTTCAAGTCTTGACTCTGAGCATTCCTTTTCTGTATCCATAATGCCTGATGTACTCCTGAGCAGTTCTTGTAAAGACATCACAGATGTTGATCCCATTAGTGGGCAGCACTTCACAGGCCATGACACAATGGCTGGTCATACCACTGGTTTAGTTATGAATATTGTACCCACCCCTGGGAAGTCCTTCAAGATGTCAGCAGTGCCACTTAGAGCCTGCGTTGCCATACAGAGTCTAGCTTCAACCAGGTTTTCACCTTGCATTGTGTGCAGAGCTAACTCAGAGTTTCTCCCCATCGTCTAGAAGCAAGAGTAGCTCCCCAGACACATCAGTTCCTCCAGGATGAACACTAGCTTTTTTAATTGTTCTGCTTTGTATGGTTTCCTATTTTACTTTACTATTAAACTAGATGTAGGGGCATTACTCACCTTCCTATGGCTGTTGTCCAACTCTCCCCAGTGTACTCCCTGAAGATTCTAGTAGATTATGCCTGGTTATCATCTGCCATTTTTCAAAATAACCCTTTAGACTAATTTCTAGTAAAATATTTACAGTAATATATTGCCTAATGCCGAAAGAACAACTGTCACATGGCAGCTTTGGGAATAGGAGGTGAGAATAGGGTTTCTATTCTGCGGTCTCTGCTAGGAATGTGTTATTATACACTGTGTTGAAGTAATTCCTCTGCTCCCTAAGTATGTTCAGTATGAAAGATCTGAGCACCTCTCACATTACTCAGCACTGCTCTATGTTCCTGTTGTAGTTCAGCATTTGGCTATTGTCAGTATACCATGTAAAGCGACTGTGTGCTGCAGTAAAGGTTGAAACTCACAGACATGATGACATAGAACTGCCTAAAGAAGCAAACATATAGATCAGTGCAAACAACAGAATCAGAGGCAAAAAGCAAACACCATAGCACAGACTTGTTCACTGTGCTCATAGCTCCTATCCTTACCCATATATTTTCAAATCATGGGTCTGCATTTTCTCTTGTTCCCACCACCTCTGGCCTAGTTCATGATAAAAGTTTCCATTTCATCTCCAATATCAGAGGTTAACATTCAGGATATTGAAATATCCTAGAAGCTTAGTTTCTATCCAAGTGCCTTCCTCCTCACTGAGAAGTGAATCTTGAACTCCTTACCATCCATATTCATTTCTGTTCTCTTTATGTGTGTTATACCTGTCCAGCTTGATTTCTGCTCCTTCTAATCCATCTCCATGTCCCAGGCCCTTTTTCATTTTTCTAGTCTCAACCTTTTCTCCATCCCAATGCCTCAACACTTTTAAGTCTGGCAATAATCGCTAAATTCACTCCCTAAACTAGAAATAAACTCCACCAGGTTTCAATAGAACTTTATCTTTTACTTTTCTGTGATATCTGCCTTAGGGTAGAGAGAGGCCCTATATCAACTAGTAATTCCCCATCTTAACCACCCATGAGTCCTCACTGAGAACTGGCTCTAAATCTTGTCCTTTTGGCTCTTTATATTCAAGGATACTCAAGTATTTGTTGAATGCAGTTTTTAGACTTTTTAGTGGGACACAATACTCTCTGTGTTAAAAAAAAAAAAAATGTATGTGATGGTTTGAATAAGAATGGCCCCCATAGGCTCATATGTTAGATGCTTAGTCACCAGGGAGTAGTACTACTTGGAAGGGTTAGGAAGTGTGGCCTTGTTAGAGGAAATCTGTCACTGACCATTGGCTTGGAGATTTCAGAAGGCCAAGCCTGTTGGCTTTTTTTTCCTTTCCCCTGATGTCTGCAGATGCATATGTAGAACTCTCAGCTCGCTCTCCATGTCTGCTTGCATGTTGCCGTGCTTCCTGCCATGATGATATTGAAATAGATCTCTGAAACTGTAAGCCATTCTCAATTTAATGCTTTCCATCAGTAGAACAATGACAATGACAGTATATTAATACAAGGATGGGCAC